ATGACACTCCAAAACTAACTTGAGGAGACGGGGGTGGACGAAAGGTAGCATGTCTGCGGCTGCTGCTTTGCTGGTTTGCTGCTGCTGCTGCTGGCTGCTTGCTTCTGCTCAGATCACTACCAAATTCTCCGCTGTGCAGGGTGGAGTCGAATTGGGGCCCCGCCTGACGTTTAAAACCAACTTTTAAACCACCGAAATCAAGCACCGGAGCACTTCACCACCCCCAATACATTATTGCTAAAGCAAAGACAACTCAGGTAGCGTAACCGCTACCTTTCGTGATGAACGAAGCATCTGCCTCTGGGATGTCAATAGCCCTATAAGAATAATCCGCATAGTAATGGACGCGCCCTCCTTCACAATTTAAGGCACAACTTGCGATTTGAGGGTTTGGACCCTTAGGGCAACTAAATCAAACATTATCAATTAAACCATATCCCTCGGGTCTAATCTATCACCAGTAACAGTGGATGATGATGGGGAGTAAAGGCCTGTCTCTAAAAAACTAATTTGCTTGTTTACTGGCTGTTACAGGTACTGTGGACCTCTGATTGATCCACGAACCCAAAATAACGTTAGACAACTCCCCTAAATCGGCCGCTTGACATGCTCATGGCTCCCTAGAGCTCTCCAGCTCTCCCACCAATGCTGAGATCCACTCATCAAACTGCAACTCGTTGGCATCGAAAAGGGCCCTCGGCATCATAAGGTGAGGTGGAGGTGGTTTACGGTGTATGGTGCTTTCACTCACAGGTGGTTTACGGTGGCTTCACAGGGATCGAACGAGCCAGCAAATGCATCTGTCTCCAACCGCGGACGGTCCGATGTTGGAATGTTTGAAGAATTGGAGTCCTGCAGGTCATCGCCGATCATGGTGTGTTGGGGGCGCCAACCCCCGCTGTCAACCCCACCGAGGCAAGCCGGGTCCTCGTCCAAATCGAAGTGGGTGAAAATTTCCTCGATCATTTTGGTCTCCTGCTCCTATAGTGGCAAAGTGGCGGAAGTGTTTCGCATGGCAGCCATGAGGGCACAAATATCTATCTCATCAAGGGCAAAAACTGGGAAGCCCCGTGGAATCCCCATGTCGTTCGGACCACCGGTTTCACCATGTTCCAGTCCGAGACTGGCGTCAAGGCGCCTTGGTCACTCGGTCCAGGTGATACTCGCTGCCCACGCTGGAGTCCACTTTCATGGCCGCGAAGACCCATTCCACGAACTCTTCCTCGGTGTGTAAACGGGACCGGTGTCTGGGTCTGGAACCCGATCTCTTCCGAAGAAGCGCGCATTGCAGTTCATTGTGAAGTTAAACCATGGAACTACCTTCCAAGGCATCCCAAAGCAATTAAACACTCAATTTAAGCACCAAGAACCGTTGTGTAAAGGGGTCACACCATGAAAACCAAATGCTATTGAAAATATAGTTAATTAATCCGTTCTCCGCATCTTTCACTGACCCCTTCTCATCCTGTCCCACCATTCCACTCACAGCAAATCATGAATTCAGGCTACGTGCTGCTACTGAATTTCTCCGCTTGAACGCATCGGAAGGCCTGCCTCCGAAAATATGAGCAACAAACATGATTGTGTTTCCAAGTGTGTGTAAACCGAAAAAGAAAATCAAAACGGTTCAAAACATCATTCAAAAACTGTAGTATGGAAAGGTCCCAAAAAATAAACGTTTAACAAATACGGGTCGGTTAGTACGGTTAAAATACGGGTTTGGCACGGGTTGCGAAAACAACACGTTCTTTCAAATACCCTAGGCCAAGATATTTGTTGAAAAGTGCGGGTAAAGTACGTGTATGGCACGAGATTGAAATCCACCTGTTGTGTTTGCATAGTTTTGCATCACAGTATGTCTCAGGTGTCAAGATCTTTGGTGATGTTCTCCACCACTCTTTATACAGGCAGAGCAGAAACTTTCTATACATTATATATAAGTTATTCTTGATTCTCTTTGTGGTGTACGCGAGCTGGGTGGAGGAATGCAACAATTGGACCTGGGCACAAACAGAAGCCCATTCAATACTATTGTTAATCAACAAAAGCCTTTTAGAATTTTAAACACAAAAGGTTCTTGGAAAACCGATGAGGGCTGACCAAACCCGATGTATTTCAGAATGTGTGTGAAAACCGGATGCTTTTGCGTTCACCGAGCGTCGATCTGCAGCAGCCCGTCGCCGCTGCGGTCCGCGCCGCGCATGAGCCGGTCGATGGAGGCATCGTCCCACGCCTGAAGGCTACAAGCAAGGATGTTCTTACTAGTACTGGAGTAGCGATGGCCACCTAGTAGCTGCTGGAGTAGCGATGGCCACCTAGTAGCTTCTTGGCCAACTCCAAGCTAATAGCGGCCTCCAAGCTAGCTTCTAGCTAGCAAGGCATGACATGGTCGGACCACTCCAGGAGGCCAACGACCTCGGACCTCACGGGACTGGAGTTGATCAAACACGACTGGACTGGAGTTGATCGGGCCAGGTTTGGGACTGGACCGGCTTAGGGGTTTAAGAAGCCCACACCGAGAACACCGTTGCGAAGCACAAACCAAACCTCCAGAATCAAGCTGCATGAACTCGTTCCGTTGGCGACGTGGAACGAAACAGCGATCTGGTTTCGATGTCGCGGGGGCGACGGAGATGTTCGATGTGAGGTCCTGGTGTGTCAAGAGGCGATAAGATCAGCTGGGTTTACACAAAAACTGGATCACTCAGGCGGGATTCCATCTGCACTCTCAGTAGTTATATAGTCATAGTGGTTGATTCCTTAAAGAATCTAGAGCTGCAGGGAAGTTCGGCCAGGTGCCGCTGGCTTTCAGCAGCATTCTTGCTTGCAACATGCTTTGGTATCCAATTTGGAGAACCCCAGTGATCAGGAAAGCACTACACGTCTTCAATTCGCGTGGTTGGAGCAAAAACTCTCTACCTCTTTCTCTCTATGCTGGGGCAGTGACCACAGAATGCTAGGGCTTCTGATGGCTTCTGACAAAATGTCTCTGGTGGATGGAATGGACATGGGTGCACAAGAAACACCTTTGAAGCCATTCCTTCAATGACCCAGCTACGTGTGCAAACGGTTGCTAAAGAACTAGTTATTAAAGTCGTCGTCCTCCTCCTCCTCCTCCATCATCATCATCATCATCATCGTTCGACACAAAACGATACGATTAGGTCACATCAACGTTGTCCTTTGAACACCTTGCCCCTTTCGACACCAAAAGAGTATCACCGGTCAAGTCAAGCAGTGTAGACTCCCCCAGAAAACATGGGTTGTAACACCTCTTCAGGAGAAGCAAGTGAACTATATTGAACTAAGAGTCTACACAAACTATCATTGCACGTATTTCTGAACCCAATCTGAGATTAGGTCCCTGCGTATCAGCTTCTATCTTCTATCCCTTCCCCACTCCCTTCCCCCACCCAGCCCCTCAATTCTCTCATGTCCCGAGCGTCCGTTGGGTTCAAACCCTTGAGCACCGCCGCGAGCTCTTGCCGGCTGATGCTGCCGGAGCCGTCCTGCATCGCGTGGAGAGACTGGGGCGGCAGCGGATCGTGAGCTCCGGGACGAATCTAGCTCCATCGGATGGCGATCTTGGTCCAAGAACTGGGCTGATCATCTATCAGAAATTCATGCCGAACATGAAGGGAGTCAGTCTAAGTCTACAGAATCGGCAAGTCTTCATTCAACGAACCTGAACCTCAACAGAATCAAAAGTCGCGAAGTCTTCCTCCTCAGCCAGTCTCTGCCTGGTGTTTGCCCACTCCTTATCGAAGCGCTTGAAGGCTGCGACCACATCTTTCGCCGGCATCGCCACCTGAGAGGCCACATCTTTGGCACTGAGAGGGTAGGGACGAGGCCCGCAACCGGAGGTCAAGAGGGTTGAGGGGCTGAAGATGGATTTCTCTCTCAGTACGTCGACGTGATTTTTACGGCTGTTTCTCTCCTGATGGAAGCCCGCCCAGACCTGGGCATGTCTATATTGGAGAGGGTTCTTTTTTTGTTTGGTCCGGCCCGCACCCCGAAATCACCCACCAACCAAGGGAGAAATCAAAGACCTCCTGAATTGGGTGCAATCCAGGAATCTCGAAAAGTAATACAGGAGTGCTTAGAAGCTGCCAGAAGTGGTTTTGCTGTAGAATGTCAGTTGAAACCAGTTTTAAAGAACAGGTCCCTGAAATGATGCCCAGCCACTCCCTCAAACCAGTGCAGGAGCCTCATCCACACCATTCTGGCAAGAAAAACGCACAAAGTTGTTGGTCTTCAGTTGGTCTTCGTTCGCGGTCTGCGACCTCAACCCTCACCAGCGGCCAGCGGCCCGGCCGCGTCCACCAACGCCACGCGTCCCTCCCAGCCCAGCCATCCACGTGTCACACGTCCAAGTGACTGGGGCTGAATGGATCGAGCTCTCGTTGGCTGAAACGGCTACGGTCGACGGGAACCGAGTGCGACGAGGTGAAGGAGCACGAATAGGAAGATCCTACATGAACTATCCTAGACCGCAGGTGGTTTCACAGGTATTCCAGACCCATGGACGGTCTGGGTATGGAACGAAACCAATTTCTCCACTTCTGCGTCTGACCGTCTGACATCCTCTGACCTTTCACGAACTCTACCGACCCAACGCTGGCTCACCGGGCCCACGCTGTTCGCACAGGGAACAACACTGCACAAACGACAGCGAGACCGTGAAATGCAAACGAACACCGAACACCGAACGGAGACGAGGGTTGTTGCACTGACTGCCACAAAACACCCTCGCCCAAATGGGATCCCATATACGCTTCTCCCACTGAGTCTATACTGACTGTCCAATTCTTGGTGCCAAAAATCTTCTGAATGGTCTTCAAACCATCTTTCAGGATACTAGTAACAAGAAGCTACTAGTAACAAGTGCCACGCTACTAGTAACAAGTGCCTTACTAGTAGTAACAAGAAGCTATTAGTTAATGGTTTCTAATGGTTTCCACCCCACCGCACCGCGGTGGCCGCTCGCCCGCCGTCCCCGCCTGCGAAGCTCGGCCAAGGCTCGGTCCGCCGAGGCCTCGTCCGTGACGATGGTCAAGCCGTCCACCTGGACCGGTGCGAGCGGAGCAAGCGGAGCCGAGAGAGCCCAGTTTTGGGGTTTTGAAGCCTCTTACGTTCTCTACGTGGCTATTCATGTTTTTTGGGGTGGGAAAGGGCCGGGAGGGGGCGACGAAGTCTGAAAAATGGGGGTGATGTTTTTTTCAGCTGACACTGAGATGGCTTTCTGGCAAGCAGGTTTGCGTGTAAAATGTTAAACAAAACCATCTTGGGTGTACCGTTCCAGAGCTGGGAACAGAGCCAGCGAGCGAACAGGCTTCAGTGTGCACTCCGGTCGTTCCATGTCGTTCCTCCCCACCGCCGTCGATGAGGAAAGCCAAGGCCGAGAAAAGGCCTATGCCTCGAAGCGAACCCCGCCATCCCTCCACCAGATAGAGACGTCTGCCCATAGTCCTTAGTGCCCACTAGAAAGCCCATAGCCATAGAAAAACCATGTGGATTAGTGTGGGTTGTGGATTGGTTCTTCAAATTGCTTGGTCTATCTTGGTCTTATTTACAAGCCGGTGTCTTTCCTGAAGTTTGGCCAGCATCTGCGCTGGGACGCCTCCAAAGCTCCTCCAAAAAATAAGAGCGGTGTTGTTCCTTTCCGCCTTCTGAAACTACTCCGAAACTTCAAAGACAGTTAATTTTTATGTTTTTTTGTTAATGTAGGTGCCCACCCACTGGAATCACCATCAATCGTGCCCCTCAGGAGCGACACGTCGCATTTACACGCGCATGTGCACCCTGCCCCAATGGCACAGAGCCACGCAAGCGCATTTTTCAACGAGGACGCGCAAAACCGCATGGCACAGCGACATCACCTTTCGAAATCTGTTAGTCTGATGAACAGTTTACAAGAAAAAGTATTGAAGAATAAACATGTTGATGAAGGTTTCTTTTACGGGAAAAGGAGGCCCTCTTTGATCTGGAGGATTTTCTAAATGTTCGATACGATGTTGATAGAGGATTTTATGTACACCCTAGGCTTCCAAGAGCCAAAGTAACTATGGCGCTTAGAGATTTGCATTGTTTTTAATAGTCTTTTCGTACCTGCATTGTTTTTCACACCTATTCACGCTTGTTCACGCTTCACACTCTCACCGGTTCTTTTTCATTTCAGTGCCCTCCAGTTTGCACTGGCATTCAAGACCTTTGACCTCCATTTCAAGGTCAAAAGTCGTAGCCTTGCAGATCGAATCAACGACTTCTCAACCATTTTTCTTTTGGTCACTTTGTTCGCCAAAAGCTTGCACCAACCAATGGCATCCTCATCCACAAAGGTATGTGTAAACCGGCTGTTCAATCCTTGGATTTCCCGAGAGTCACACACCAAGAAAACATGCTGCAGGCACATAGGCGTTTGAACCTGACAACTACATAACAACTACAACTCCCACCCCAAAAGTGTACCTCAGTTAAACAAACCCAGCAACTCCAGGTGCGGGTGTTCAGCAAGATATGCTCATACTGGTGGAATTTGGGCTTCATTTGCCAGGATACCACCCCCTTCTGAATACAAAGGCGGGTCAAAAACACATGCATCTCAAGGCTTTTGAGACCAGCTAAGTAGATCTCATTGGCCTGCGCAGCTGACCTTGCTTCACCAAGAAAGGATTAGCCAGAGCCCAAAGTGTAGAAGGGAGCAAACATGACAAACCAAAACTGACAAGTCAGCCAGGCGACAGCAAACGTGGATATCTCTCAGTCAAGGCATACCATTGCGCCAAGCTGGCCATTGCCACAGCTTCCGGAGCTGAGAACTCATCAGATGGAGCCGGCAATCCCTCATCGCGAAGCCATTGTCCGAATATCCTGTTTGGTGGGAAGCAACCCAATGACGCGTCCAAAGCACACCTGGCCAACCAAGCCACAACTACCCTTGCATTGTGAGCTTTGGTAGTGAGGAAAGGACCATTTGCTTTTTTCAACAATGTGCTCACCCGGAATCGCTTTTGGGAGCACCTCACCTTCTCAATCCTGCAAAAAATGAGGAAGTCATCATATGCATGATTCAGCCTATCGAGCAGTGGGGTCTCAGGCGACCCGAACCAACCAATGTTGAGAAGATGGTACAGCGTCGAACCATTGAAAGTAAAGGCGAGGCCCAAGTTCACGGTATGCATGGAGCAATGCTGTATGGTCGAAATATCAAAACCATGGCACAATGCAAAAGGGCACAGTAGATCGGATGGCACGCCCTCAGCAAGAAATTCAATTGTAGAAATCTCAGTTGAGCGCCATGCCGCAGCATCCCCACAATCCCAGTAACAGGGCCCGTCTTTGGACACAGCCTTGCAGCGAAAACATACATCACGTGATCTCCACCATCGCAAGTGCCTCCATAAAAATTTATGCCACACCTGGTCACCTCGCAGCTCTGTCAAAATGAATCGGCGTCCGCCAAATATTGGAGTTCCATCAACGTCAACTCCAGAGTAGGCCAGGTTGACACTTTGGGCAATTCGCTGAAGTACCGGGTGCAAAGATTCATATCCCACAAGTTGTGTTGAATCAATCGCAAAAAGTAAAAACCTGGAAAGGCGCGCGTTCTTTGGTCGCCACAATGGCAGATCCATAAAGATGCATGTAAGCTTGTCTGGGGCCGCCCTGTCAGCCCCATAGGCTGCCTCATCCCCATGAATTCCAATTGGAATAAACTCAACAGACCCACCAACTTTTGCTGACAAGGGGTGTTGAACTTGTTGCAAATGTCGCCAGAACGACCCGATAACACGTTCATTGATGTGCAGCCCTGCCTCTGTAAATAAGAACCGTAAGATGGAATGAGGTAGTAGCACAGGCATGTACTTCTCAAATTGTGTTCCATCCTTTTTGTCGTCTAGAACCGCGATCTTGACCCAATCAGGCTCCTCAAAGGGCATACCCATATAGGCACATGCACAGGCCTGTTCTTCAGCCTTTAGTAAAGTTTTTATCCCACCTGGTAACCTAGTACAACATGTTAACACATAGACCATGTTTAAGAGTTTGGTGCACCAGTTTTCACCAGCAAAACCTGTCCACGGGAAGGGGAGTATGTTTGAAGAAGTTTCTCGCCGCATTCTTCTTGTTGGTGGACTTGGCCAAAGCTCGAGTCCAGTCTGATGCCATGCCTTTACTTTCCTTGGCAAATCCAATCCACACAACGAAAGACAGATTGATCGATATATAGAAACTTCTCACCCGCTTCAGAATTATTGAGCACATTGTGAGAGCAAAGAAGAATAAGTCACTTTCAACTCATTTGGTTCATAGGAACTAGACCTCATTCGAGACAAAAAACAACTTTTCACAAGTTTTTTGAGCCTTGCCTTGCACATAGCGCTTGCAGAGCTCATGACAGTCGCCAGTGTGTGAGCCTGAGCTTTGGTAAGTTTGGAGTGACGAGATGGAGTGAAGTCGATTTGAGGGCATGACCCCATCAGCAAGTTTGTTGACTTGGTCTTCGATGAACTCTGATGTTCGACCTGCGAGTGTCAGAAAAACTAAACAGGGATTGATCAGCCAACTTTGGTATTTCCAGGCTTAAAATACCAAAGTTGGCTAGTTCCCAACTATGCACTGCTTTTGAAAGCGAGTCAAGATCAGGCTCTTGCATGATTTGCCAAAGTAGAATGATTTGTTCTTTTCTCTTCCTCAAACGTGTTCGCTCTACTACATCCCAGTGCTATGTGCCCTACTAGAAGCTGGAGCCCTGGACCACACAAATGAATTTACTCAAAACTGCCTGGGTTCAGTTATTTTTTGGGGGACATGATGTTTGGTCAGGGGCCACCAGCCGCAAAAGGTGACAGTTTCATGTCACAATCCCCGAAGCACTGGGTTTTGAAAGCTACCGCAACCTACAAAATTAGACAGCTTTGGCGGAGGGCTGAGCTTTTCCCGACACTTTGGCCCGCTTGCAAGGTTCCAGCGCCGAGTCCAAAGCTGTGCATGCAGCCTTGACTGCATCAGTGCCACTCGTCAGGTCGTCCTGGGAAGTTTGGGCTCCAGGATCCATGACAGCTAGGAAGACCTTACTTGTTGCTCATGATGGTATAAGCTAGGCACCTGATCTGTCTCAAGTGCCACTTCCAACTTGGCACGTTCGCGCTTCAATGACTCCATTTTCTCAGTCACATCGCTCTCAATCGCCTTCTTGTAGTTTTCGGCCCTTAGGACGCTAGCTGCACACATGTGTTTTTGGTTTTGGGATAAGAGAAGTTTGAGTTGGGAACATATTTGCAGTCTTTTGCAGCAATGCGTGAACCCCCTGCAGCTTGGTTTGAGCAAGCTTTGTGGCCTGCCAAGAATGTGAGGACATTTCACTGCACATGCATTAGTAGAACAATAAGAAAATACGGGTCCAAGTCCAAAATATTTATGAGCACTTATGGGGAATGATCCAGCCTGGTTTGCCTTGGCCTTGATGTTTTTTCGTGCTTCCTTTACAGGGTCAGGCTTCCTATCATCCTTCTTATCTTTCTTCTTGTCTTTCTTGTCTTTCTTCTTTTTGTTTCCCTTGTCTTTCTTGGCTTTCTTCGATTTCTTCTCTGTCTGTTCTTCTCCCTGGTCTGGTGAGACCTCTCCCACAGCAGCTACTTCCTCAGCCTTGGGAATCCCTGGTACTGGTGTTGAATCCTTCTCCTTTTTCTCCTTCCTGCGCTTCTTCTGCTTTTCCTTACCCTTCTTTCCTTTCTTTTTTTTGGCCTCCATCCAACAAAACAAAACAAAGTATATAAAATAAACGACACAGGTTGAGCACAACATTGTGGCCTTCCCCGAAGAACTAGAATCGTCTGTGGTGCTAGAAGATCCAACGGAAGAGCTTGAGGAGCCATCAGCACATTCATACATGTGCTTGATGACTTCTTCTGCGGTCTCCGTCTCTGTGGCATCATCCAGCACAAGAAATTGCATCCATTCCTGCTTAATCAATATGACACAGATTGAGTATAGGACGTTGATATAACAGGTAAAAAAACACACAACACAAACTCACATGCACACCGGAACTTCAATCATGTG